CCAGGATGGCCATGTGCTTTTTTGCCCAGGGTGACCATTTGCATGTATAACAGTGTCCAGTCAGGGCTCTTGCCAGAACGCGCAGTTTATTTTTGCCTTATCCCAGAGCTCCTGAAGCGAATTTACGATCAAAAGGCCGGATTAAGGTTTTAAAATGTTTTAAGCCTGGTGTATCAGACCAGATCTTAAGTGATTTATTGGGATATAGAGTTTCAAGGGTTAATCGGGCTAGGTTTTTTGAGATTCCACAAAATGGCTTGGTTTTTTTTTATTGTATAGGGTGACAAACGAGCACACAGTCCACCTGATGGTAAGTGGTTGCTGCGGCCCATAGACATCTACATCTATCCTCCATTAAAAATCAAAATGCAGATGCGTTGTCACCCGTGAGGACGATGGAATGCCTTGTTTCCACTAAAAAGGGTCTCCGGTTCTCTACACTCACCATACGAAATACAGCAGCATTAAGCTACTATTTCACGCTGGTATTCTGTGAGAGCGTGGTCCTTCCCCGGTCGAGCCGACCCATTCGTGCTACAACTATACTACTAATATAACTGCAGCATGTCTCTACCACGTATATTACAATTGGTTACAAATTGTGTGCTATTTATGTCCTCCCGTGCGAACTCATTGGCAAGTTCACTGCCTATAATATCCGCGTGACACGGAACCAATCTTTAAACGACCCTGTTGTTACATCCCATGGCATTCAGACGGTTCACGCAGTCTCCAACTAGCCTCGAGTTCACTAAGTTTTAACAGCGCTAGCAGTGCTGCTTGACTATCAGAATTTATATAGATTATATGAGTAACGTAGTGTTTTTGCAGATTTATTTCGTCACACTGAAGTATGACGAAAATTTCAACCCGGAATATGGAGTTGAATCTACCCTAATTCATACTAAGTTTGAATTTGGAGCATCCCCATAAATTGATAGAATCAGGCGTTACTTTGCGGAAATCCATTATAATAAAAATAAAAATATAAATTTCTTCGCAACCTTCCGCCAAACAAATACAATGATGTGTCTTACCTGGATTGAAGAGCACCTCCCGCCCTCCCTCAATTGCATGCACTAACTCCGTCACCACTAATCCCAGCACCACTACTCCCAACACCACTATTCCAGGCAAGACACACCATCGACGATAATACGACACGTGTTTCGCCTCTACACGAGGCATCTTCAGGTAATGTAGACTCTACGGCGGCTGACCGCTAAGATAACCATAAATTCCAAAGCCTACGTCGAGGCCCATTTTTACCCATCGGTGTACCAGTTTGCCAGTCTTTTCTGGAGGGTAGTTCCACTATATACTGTTTATTAAAAGGTTATAGTGAACGCATGATACCTGAGATCATGCATAAGACCAGTGTTTACTTAATTGAGTAGAGCATGGATCTCAATTTTTAGGAAAGCATCCGCCGAAAGCCCTAGGCATTAATCATATACAAACTAGCCTTCACCTCCTGGTCTAAATAAAGATCTAGGGGCGCTAGGAACAGAAGTGCATTAAGAGCTGCTTAAGGCGATGATCGCATCGCGCCAGTTGCCATTAAGTAGGCTGTCCTTTATAAACTATTTAGTCTGTCCGCAGTCGTCTTTTCGTTGGCCTTATTACACCAGACAATGAGACATAGGTGATAATTGGCCTCACTGTGCTGCTGTACAGCCATAGGATCATCCTGAAAAGCAAGCCCCAATTGTTCCCAACCATACGACCTCACGTACCTAAAACAATTTTAGCCCTACGACATACGTTGCTAAGGTTAGAGACCATGTTAATATTTGGTCGATTGTTATGCCCAAATACTTAACTTTTTCATAATTAAAATAATCAGGCGTTACTTTGCAGAAATCCGTTATATGGAAGTTGTTAGAACTTAATTTGCTCATTTCCGCGTAATAAAATACAATGATGTGTTCTGCCCAGTCTGAAGAGCACCCACCTCCCACCCTCCCTCAGTTGCAAGCACTATCCCCGTAACCACTACTTCCAGCACCACCACTCTCAGCACCACCACTCTCAGTGCCACTCCTCCCCGCACCACCACAGTAGGAATGACATACCACCCTTGATAATATGACATGTGTTTCGCCTCTAAACGTGGCATCCTCAAATGAAGTAGACTCTGCGGAGGCTGACATTATCTTCATCACCACTAATCCCATCACTTCTACTCCTAGCACTCTCTCCTTTCTCCACACGCTTCTATTGATACAACTCGTTGATCAGCAAGTTGTATAAATAGCAATTGTTTCGGCTCGCCTCTCACTTAGCCTTCAGCCACCGCAGAGACTGCTTCACCTGTGGATGCCTCGTGTAGAGGCGAAACACGTATCTCATTATAGACGGCGGTGTGTCGACTGGTGGTGTTGGGTGTGGTGGTACTGAGAGTGGTGGCTACGGGGATAGTGCATGCAATTGTGGGAGTTGGGAGGTATTCTTTAGACTGGGTAAGACATATCATTTTATTTTATTACGCGATTATGAACAAATTAAGTTCTAATAACTTCAACCACATGGATTCAAAAATGACCGAGAATATCGAGTCAAATTCTGGTTTGAACACCTTTAATTTTTCTGCCATATTCGTACCATTATTGAATCCTTGATTAATGATTAATGTCTTAGTCAAACACTTATGCAATTGCAATTGTGAATTGGTTGACCGGTGCCAGTTGGTAACGTATCGGTTAATTTCGGCGCGCCCCCCGAACACGGCGCTCGGTGCAGTCGCACCGCTCCCACCGCCCTAGGATCGCCACTGACTGCTGGATATGGGCCTCTCTCGTTTCCTCTGGGATTCACCTATCGTATCCAGACGGATTGGCGATCGCTGACCCAGACGCCTCGCACTCGCATCTTGACGCTGTTTCCCGTCGTCGATCGGTTATTTGACTGTCGTAGTAAAGTTACAGCTTATATACCTCCTCTCGTTTCTGAGAGGATTTTAGAGCAAGGCAATGTCCACCGCGCTGCGACTTCACATGTAACATAACATAAACACTCACGCCTGTCACCCAGAGGGGTAGGCAGAGACTACAGACTTCCATTGAGCACGATCCTGACATACCTTTCTCGCCTCTTCCACATCCATATACCTACTCATACATGCTCGTCGGTTAAGGGTACTCTTAATTTGGCCCATTTTTAGTATATCGCCAATTTGGTCGACAAACTTCCGCCTAGGACGTCCCTTTCCGACTCTTCCATTCACTTCTGCAACATATATTTGCTTTGTCCGTCTTTCCGCATTCATTCTTTCTACATGACCAAACCACCGAAGCATTCCTTTCTTAATCCTGGTCACCGCATCATCTTGCAAACCACACTCTTCTTTTATCACACAGTTTCTCACCCTGTCACTCAGATTCAGCCGTAACATACTCCTTAGCGACCGCATTTCTACTGCATTTATTCTACTCTCGTGCTTCTTCTGCCACACCCAACTTTCACTACCATACGTTAAAGTAGGGACTAATACAGCACTGTGAATTGCCATACGTGCCTTTTTTGACACATTCTGACTTTTCACAATAGAGTGTAGAGCCCCATTTACTTTATTTCCTGCATTCACTCGTCGTTCAATATCCTTATCATATCTCCCATCCCTGTGCTTTAATTAACTCTCCTTCTATTCTTATTTCACATACCGTTTTGCTTTCATCTCTTTCAAAAACCATCACTTTCGTCTTACTTGCGTTCACTTTCATTCCCCTTTCTTTTAATGACCTGTTCATTAATGTAACCATCATTTGCAACTCGGCCGCCGACGACGCAAGTATGACTTGATCATCGGCGTACAAAAGGCATTTGATGGTTAACTCACCCATTCTTAACCCGCATTCTTCAACTTTCAAATTTTCCAAACAGCTGTCCATAAATAGGTTGAACAGCCACGGGGAAGCTACACAGCCCTGTCTGACACCTTTATGGATGCCAAACCAGTCCGAGTAGACCCCGTTGATTCTAACACAAGCACTCGAGTCCCTATACAGAGACTTTAATGCCTGTATCAGAACAGCGCTCAACCTAAATGCGTTCAGCGTTTGCCATAACACATCCCTGTCCACTCTGTCATAAGCCTTTTCCAAGTCCATGAACGCACAAAAAACTTTTTGGTTTTTCGCCAAAAACTTCTCCGCGATCATGCGCATGGAAAAGACTTGATCTGTACACCCCATTCCCTTTCTAAATCCCGCTTGCACATCCCAAATTTTTTCATCAGTTTCTTCTTCACATGTCTTCCAAATATTTATTTTCTTATTTCTCAAACATGCATATTTCCCCATGAAGTTTTTCTCCACCACCGAGTACGTGGTAAATCATCGCTTAAATTGCAATTAACAATTTCATTGTTGTCGGCGGGGATCAAACTCGGGTTACTCGCGTATGTGAAATTTACAGCGAGCGTTTAGCCTCTAAGCTAACACGGCTCGTCGTATTAGTTAGTAAGACGCTGCTGTCCAGCTCCTAATTTGTTTCCCTTTGTCGCTTCTTACGACACCTACGAGATGATATTGGCTAGTGAATGTTCTTACACCGCCACTGCACGATGACGTCGTCATACGACGGTATATTCATCATAAGCTATGAAATATTTCTTTATTAACGCCCGTGGATTCTCTAACGCCATCACCAAACGGCAACGCGCAAACTTGTAATCAACGATTTTATTGAGTGTCTGCAAGGATCGAACAGGATTTGCAAGCGTACCTTGAAATACTATGAAAAGTAATACACAATTTCATTATTTCATATTTATTTTACTTTGAATTATAATTATGTATGTTACTAATATCACATTTACAGTGCTTTCTATTCCTTTAACTCTTAAGGATGTTAATAAAGTTTCAGTACCTATATAACTTCTTAAAACTAGGACTAGCCATTTGAAAGTATAATGAACTCTGTTCGGATTATCATGCAGTTGTGATATGTATTTATTTTAATTAATGTAACGTCTACGATTTTATTTATACATGTTTTATTTACACTTCTACAATTTTCCTCGTTTTAGGAATGAGCGAGTCGTCTTCCGTTGCCACTTCTACAAGTCTTCGTCTTTTCCTTAAAGGTCTCGTAGACTCAGATGGTTCCCTACTTTTGGTCACAATTTTGGCCATTTTGTTACCGAGCCTTGTAATTTTAAATTTCGGTAGAGTCTGCTCAGGGTTTCCGGTTTCACTGGTTCCATTTTCGCTTCTTTCATCATCTATTCTTTCGTTTTCTTCATTCAATGGTTCTGTTGCGTTTGATGGTTGAAATTCATCACCTTCTTTGGACTGTTCTACTTTATTTCTTTCATTATTAATTGTGAAATCAAGGGGGCCTTCCGCCTCCTCGTTATTTGTTTCCGTTTTTACTTTGTTCAAGCAATGAGCTTGAATGAACGAAGTTATAGGTATTGGAACTGGTATAGGGAGAGGTATCGGTAGTAAGACTGGATAAGGAACTAAAACTGTAACTGGTGGAGCTTGGCCCAATGGTGGGGGAAAATTGGGTGGCGGAACAAGACGAGGACGTTCTTGCATCAACCCTGGGCGCGGCATGAAGCCTAATCTAGGTGAGTACATAGGATATCTGTTATCGTTTATATGATTTGGTGTTTCCGGAAAAACTGGTGGGGGCATTCCAAATAAAGGATTTGGGAATGGTAGCGGGCCTGAATGTTGATTCATTAGGTGCGGTGGGGAATGGATAACGCTATTACCGGCTGTACCGATAGTTGAACTTGGAGAAGAACCATCCAACGATGGACTACACAGTCGCAAGTCTTGTGCCTGAGCTGTTGTATTATGCTGTCTTAAGTTCTGAGAAGTTACAGTTGCCGAGCATTTTGAAGTTCTGCGCTTCCGCAAATTCATTTTGAATTGTCTGTCTTTCTTCGATTCTGGAGATTTTTGTATCACCTTCTCTTCTGAAGTCTTTGGATTCATAAGTTTTGCTGCTGGAGCAACTGTTATTAACGGTAATGGAGATTTTCGGATATTATTTACCGTTTCTATCTTTTCAACTGTTCGTTTGTTTGCCATGTTTTCAATGTTTGGGGAACCCGATCGCTCAGATGTTGGCGATACGGATCTGCTCTTACAATTTTTAAGCCAAAGCTCTGGAGTAATGAGATTGGAGGATGACGAAGCATTCACTAAGTGTGGGTTGAGATCTAGATGCGCTTGTGTCTCTCGACAAAATATGTGCATTTTGTATTGATTCAGGCATTTATCCGAGCAAAATTGCAGTTGAGTTGCGCCATCCTGAAAAAAAAACAAGAGTAATGTTAAAAAGTATTCACATATTTTTATATAGATAAAAAGCAAATTTAAAATTTACTTTCAAACTATAATATAACAATTTAATAAAACATTTTGAATGTATTTTAGCAGACGTTTCGTGTGCTTTGCAGCAGCAATTGTGTGACTAATACACAGACGAAACGCCGGGAATTAAAAATAAGTATAATGAAATCCGTTAAAATAGTTTTATTCAATGTCTGTGATGGCGTATATGTAAGGTACCTATGAAATTGCTGTTTTTTTTATGAAATAACGTAACTTTTAAGCTATTGCATAGCTTCTATCGCGGGCCTTGAGCGCGGGGACCGAATCCAGAAATTCCGTAACGAAAAAAACCTCACGCTCCCCACTCCGACGGGCACGGAGGTGTGGCGTTGAAAGCCGTGCACCGTCTAACGTCGTTTCTCGTTTCAGTTCGGCAGACTTCGGCACGGTGTTTGTGTGCGTGCGACTAGACGTATGCGTGTACACTAGCTGCTCACTCAATGATAAAAATTCCTGAATAACCTACATGTATTGTAAGATATTAAAAATATTTTAAACAATATTAACTTCTCATTTATTCAATAAGAGAAAAAAAAATTGTTTTCTTATCGGTCACCACGCTCAAAAAGTGTAACTTGATTTAATATCAAAGACTTAACTGCATAAATAAAATAAATAAATAATTATAATTGCAAAGTTGATAAAAAATGCTATGCAATAGCTTTACCGCGGCAGTCACCGAGTGCCACACGTATTTTTTTTTCTATATTTTTTATTTCTATTAATCAAAGCAATCAGTCTATTGATGCCCTTCTTGAAGAAATCAGCTGGACAACAAATTCTTTAAAGGCATTTTGTACTGCCTCTCGAGTAATGAATTTTTTCCCGCCAAAATTTATCCAAATTCTTGAAAAAGTAGAATCCGTAGGCGCAAAGCCTGATGAGTACGGCGGATCACGGAAGCTTCCAACCCCAGCTCTTGTAACTCGGAGACTGTCTATGGTGCAGTATGAGGTCACGCATTGTCGTGCAGGGGCAGCGGGGACGGCGATTGACCAAAGCTGGTTGAAAACGTGCGAGCTTCTCCATAAATGTGTGCAGCTCTTCTCAGTACACATCTGCAGTAATGCTCATCTCGTTTCGTAAGAAGATGCACTCACTTTTCTAGGGCTAAATGTTCGTTTAGGGCATTGTTTAGGTGCTGATCCAACCAACTTGCTCAGTGCTTGCGATTGTCAAACAGAATCCATTTTTCGTCTCAGCTGAGCATGCAGTTTGAAATTCCTTCGTTTGTGTGCAAGGCACGTCTCGACGCGAACTTCGAGCTGGCGATCATTGAGTTCGTGGGGCACCCATTTGTCAACCTCTTTTAACTTGCCAATTTGACGCAAATTTCATGTCATTTTTATTAAAACTACTTTTACGGATTTTATCGCGTTTAATTTTAATTTTAACTATTTTTACTTTTAATTCCCTACGTTTCGGGTGCTTTCCAGCACCCATGGTCACGGGGGACTAAGATGACTGACGTCGCGATGTTATTGTTAAACCCGGAGTACCTTCAGCTTTTTTAACAGCTTTTTTAATTAGTGTTTATTCCGATCTGTGCAAAATGAACCGAACTATGTCTTGAAGTCTTGCAGTGGTATGCTTGGGTTTAGTTTTAATTTTATTGATTATAGGGTCCGAATAGGTGGTAGTACCCAGCCTCCTTCTCTATTGAAATTAGGATGTTTTTTAATTTAAATAGTCTCACGTATCATCCTTGGTGGGAATCGGTGTTCTTTCGCGAGGATTTGTGGTCTATCAAATCTGATGTAATGGTTGGGGCCGTCTAGGATATGATCACAAAATAATATTTAATATTGATTATTGATTAATAAGAATGTTGAAATGTAGGGAATTAATAATAAAAATAATTAAAATTAAACTCGATAATATCCGTAAAAGTAGTTTTACTCAATGTGTAGTGTTCGCGTAAATATAAGAAATCATTATGGACCAATATTGTTTTGTTGCTAACATCAAACGCTACTGCTAATTTAGTCGTACATTGAGTATCATCAGCTTTCACAATCGCCATTGTCGACCAAAGTTCGGACGACCAGGGGAGTTCATTTTTCAGGTTGAAATTTCCAGAACGGAAGCGGACAAACCAATAACAGTTGATGCGTTCGTTTGTAGAATTCGCTCCGTAAACATCGATGATGTTGGGTGTCGCTTGCCCGCTTGTGCCGCGTTGCTGCCACGTCGGTACTCATATTCCATAATTAGTCATATTTTTAACGTATCCATGATAACGAAAAATATTAAAATGCGATGAAAACATAACGCTAATCAATAAACAAATGACTGTTTGTGAAAAAAGAATTCCATGTTTTTTAAATAAAATTAATTTGAAATTAGAATTCTCAGCCAAACAAAAATTATTTTGATTTGAAATGGCCAATTTCATAGGTAATGACACCACACTCTCTGGGGTTACAGATCAAAAGGGAAGTTACCAATACACAAACATTAAATCTAAAATACTGATGTGTGTGCGTGCGTGCGTGCGTGCGTGCGTGTGTGTGTGTGTGTGTGTGTGTGTGTGTGTGTGTGTGTGTGTGTGTGTGTGTGTGTGTGTGTGTGTGTGTTGTGTGTGTGTGTGTTCTGTGTGTGTGTGTGTGTGTAAAGTTAAGAATAAAGTAAGCAGTATAATCAAAGATTTAGTACCAACAGATTCAACACCTTCCAACATTAAACTTGTAATATTATTTTTAATAAGATAAGGGTGCCAAGCGAACACACAGTCCACCTGATAGTAAGTAATTGCTGTGGCCCATAGACGTCTATTCTAGCCTCGTTTGCGAATCAAAATTCAAAGGCCGCAGGGCCATCCTCCTACGCCCGTGATTAGACTGGCAAAGTCGTCTCTTACGACACCTACGAGGAGAGATTCAGATACGACGAGAAATTGAAATTTGGTTGCAAACGAGCACACAGTCCACCAGATGATAAGTGGATGCTGTGGCCCATAGACATCCACATTTATTTACATCAAATATTCTTAATACCACGTTAAGAATCAAAATGCACAAATGCGTTGTCACCCCTGCGGACTAAGACGGAATGCCTCGTTTCCAGTAAAAAGGGTCGCCGGTTCTCTAAAACCCACAATACGAACCACAGCAGCATTACGCTGGTATTCTGTGAGAGCGTGATCAATAGGTACATATAAATAATAATGTTTAATAATTTATTACACATTTAAATAAGTTATAACATTATGGAAAGCCAGACTAGCGTCTGTACCGTCTCCCCTTCACCAGTCTAGGAATTTTATGTGTGTATGGTTATATATGATAGATTCCCATAATCCACTACCACCTTTTTAGAGCCATGCTGCAGCTATATTATGGTTGTAGCACGAATGGGTCGACTTGACCGGGGAAGGACCACGCTCTCACAGAATCAGTGTAAAATAGAAGCTCAATGCTGCTTCGTTTCATATGGTGAGTGTAGCGTACCCGAGACCCTTTTTACTGGAAACGAGGCATTCCATCTTAGTCCTCAGTGGTGGCAACGCATCTGCATTTTGGTTCCTAATCGAAGGTCGATGTAGATGTCTATGGGCCACGGCATCCTCTTACCATCAGGTGGACTGTGTGATCGTTTGTCACCCTTATACTATAAACGGTTATCGATATGGCGAATGAAACGATTGAGCATTGATTAGCAAATAATATATCTCACCTGAAAGTCGACGTAAGCCACTGTGTGCCTGACATGTCGACACCAGTCGCAAGTCTTGGCACGTTTGAAATTCGCGCGGCGCGACTGACTGAAGCACAGCTCCGAGCAGAAAGCAGCGCCGGCCTGCTGTAGTGCTCCGCTCTCACTAGTTATGCTCTTGTTGCACCACGAGCATTCATCTGTAATAATAAAATTAAAAAACATAAAGTTGCTGCATATTTTTTGAAAAGTCCAGTGAAGTAGTAGATATGGCTATGAAGATTTTTTATGGAATCAGTAAAAGTATCAAATAATTAAATAAAGAAGGATGACAAACTGATGGTAAGTGACCTATTGGTGACGTATGAGGCTTTTTATAGCAACTATACACCGTGGATAGTCATTGTTTTTAATTATAAAATTCCATGTATGTTATATTTATGTATTATATATGTATATTCATTATGTATGTTATCCTCGGCTCTCGCATTATATTCCTTTACTAGATTTATCTGTAATTTGGATAAATTCCCTAACCTAAATCTATTAACAGTTAAAAAATAGTTGCCGTGCCACCCCTAAGGATTAAAATAGGATGCCTCGTTAACAGTAAAATGGATCGCCGGTTCTCACTTGGTGCGTGATGGTGATCCATTTTACCGTTATTAGCTATTACAAAGCACAGCAGAATTAAACTGCTATTTTACGCTGGTATTCTGTGAGAGCGTGATTTTTATCCCGTCGAAGCAACCTATTTGTACTGCAACAATAATATAGCTGCAGCGTGGCTGGTTTAAATAGCTTCAGTTCACAAGGTTTAAATATGTTTAGATTATCGTAATTTCTTACTCAGTTCTTGTTTCTCATGGGTAAATGGACGTACCATAGAGATATCTACAAGTTAGATAGATATTTTGCGATGCAAGTGAGCGAATAATAGCATTACTTTTCACACGCCGGTAAACTATTTACATAATTTTTTGTTGGTAATTGAAAAAATGAGGATATGCTCAGTAGAACCAGAGTAACCGACATAGCCGAACGGATTAGTAAGTGACAATGGGCCGGCCATATAGCTTGAAGAACCGGCAACCGATGGGGAAGAAAGGTTCTCGAGTGGCGGCCTCGTACCGGGCAGGAAAAGTGTAGGGCGTCCCCCCACTAGATGGAGTGACGACCTGGTAAGACATGCAGATGTCGATGGATACAGGTAGCTCAGGACCGTGCTTTGTGGCATTCCTTAAGGGAGGCCTATGTTTAGCAGTGGACTTGTGAAAGGGATCTAATGATGATGATGATGTAGTAGTGGCGTAAAATAATCTATAACCGTATTTCGTCACGAACGTGTGGTAAGATGTGACTATTACAAATACCAAAAAATCGTATGGCTTCGAATAGAAGGCGGTATAATCATACCATTTACGTTAGACGAAAAAAAGACTGACGAGAAATAGGCGAGTGAAAGTGGTACTTCGATCGTAATTCCGCCTGCCATGTGTCTGTCAAACATAATCTAAATCTAATAATGTGTCTAGCAATTTTCACTTTTACGGGCTACGAAATAAGAATTAGAAGGAGTTTCCTTATAAAGAAAGTGTTAACATTGCTACTGAAATTACAATCACTCCCGTTGATCACTATAATAACGTCCTCAGATCGAATTTCAGTCACGGCGGCCTGCCTCAACGAGACTAGCCATCGGCGCAGGACAGGATTATAGTGCCTAAGTGTTTGCGCAAGCACAGGTGCACTCTCTACTCCCTCAATCTCATAATCCGATGGGACGGTAAACCGACACGACCGGAGAGAGATCAGGCATGGGGGTGAGATACCGCCAACTTCCTGACTCCTGGCAGTTAAACAAAGGATTTCCTGACGGAACAACTCAACCGGGACCCGGGATTCTAACTCAGGAGCTCGTGAACAGCAGTCGCACTAACCAATAGACCAACGAGGCAGTCAAACTAGAATCTAGATCACTATAAGCTAGAAAAGACGATCTATAAGTAAGTTGTTCACGACAGTAGGTAGGCGAATTGCAATTTGAACTTACGTCTTTGATTCATTATGAGAAATGACTACCAATCGATAATAAGATACTGCGACTCACATCGCAGATAGAAATATCAAAGGAACCATCAAAGAAACCTAAATATTGTCACTCCTAAGGACAAAATTAAGGTGGCCTTGTAATACTGGCTCCCTTCAAGCAGGATCAGAACAATGAGTGCACTGCCATTAGTTGACAAAAAAAGGAATGGTGGATAGTACCGACCCAGACAGATACGTAAGCAGAAAGGAGACATATTAAAATTAGTGTAAGTAAAAGTCAAATGAAATTAAACAATTACAATAGAGTAAGAGATAAGACCTGAGCAACCCGGGTTCTACCCCACCGGCAGTAATGAATCTGTTAATTGCAATTCTAAGCGCCGATTTACCAAGTGGTGAAGGAAAACATCATAATCATGCATGTCTGAGGAATATAATGTGATGAAGATCTTGTGATGTCAGTCAACACAGTTTCAGAAATAAAAGGATGCATATGCTATAACTTACCCTTTTTATTATCAGTACGAGGATGGAGGCTCTATATCTCCACGGCTCTCCGGCCCTCACTCTTTTATCATAGAAAAATCCTCATTGACACCTACGACTGCGGTAACAAGAGATAGGTTATGGCGCTCACTAACCCAACCTAACCTAGAGTGGTACTTGTAAGTATCTACAGTGTTATATACTTATATATTATTACCAAATACATATATAGTGGAATATATAGATACCATATTATTTTTGGAAAAGCTCAAAAAGGCAGACGACACGAAACCGAACCCTTGCATTCAAATCATCGCAATCACAGATTAATTATTTTTTATCGTTTTCTTAAATGATTAGTAAGATAAAACCGGTAATATGATAAGCTTTCTCATTACTGTGGACCGTTTGTACTTATCTAAAGCAGTGATATCTCGTTATGGGTCTTATTAATTTCTTCTGTTGGGAACTAACGACTTGGTATCGAGTTAGACGGGACATTCGAGATTGTCACAATTATAAGAATACGTTTACTTGAATTTGATTTATTTGGAATGTTATGCGATTTTTTCAAATAAGGATCTTTGATAATGATAAGTTTTACAAAATGAGGAGACACTCATTCGTTATGCACGAAGGTCTGTTCGTTTTTCCTGTAAACGTTAATGCCAGCTATATTATGGTTGTAGCAAGAATGGGTCGGCTCGACCGGGGAGGGACCACGCTCTCACTGGTGAGTGTAGAGGTCCGGAGACCCTTTTTTACTGGAAAACAGGTATTACATCTAACTCCTCCGGGATGACAACACATCTGCATTTTGATTCTTAATCGAGGATAAATATATATGTATGTAAATGTATATAAATGATATGTCTATGGGCCACAGCATCCACTTACCATCAGGTGAACTGTGTGCTCGTTTGTCACCCTTAATCTATAAAAATACGTCCAAAACGCTCATTGAACATTAGAAAAATGTGGTAAGAAGAATGTTAAGAAAAGAATTGATTTATTATTGGCCCGATCCGGGAATTGAACCCGGGATCGCATGATCAGCAGTCGCACTACTACAACCACTAGACCAACGAGGCTGTCAATATAATAACCTGTAGAGTATATAATAACCTGTGGGAAAGGGTGAACGTGTACGTAAGTTGTTAGAAAATAGACACGGCGTAAATATTATTAATTAATGGTACAATAACGTTTAAGAAAGCACAAAAACGCGTTTTATTTAAAATGATAATGAGGGGTAATAATCTTTCGTTCACCAGACGATGCTAGCCCCTGCTAGTGAAGTCGACATTTAGGTGACGTTTTTTGTTACGCAATGTCATATAATGAGATGTCATGATACACGACTTTTTCTGCCACCAAGGCTGAGAATGAGCTGTATTATTTAGATTTCATAGCGGGAAATATGGGCGGGAAAATTAAGTCTTTCATTCAAAAAATGTAAAGGTTAATGTTTATTTCTGTACTATTAGTTATATTCTATATTAATTAGATTAAAATAAATAAACAAAACCACAAATATTCATAAAGGTAGAAACATTTAAAAAAGACTCAAAAATGCGCAAAAAAAATTAAAGAGCAAACCACTAAAGCATTGTTTTTATAATTTATTTTTTTGACATTTTTTGACCAATTTAATGACGTTGTATAACAAAAAAACTTCACCTCAGTGTCAACTAGCGACATCTGTTGAGCGGAAGAATATTAGCCCTCATTAAGAAGTTGAGTTTTAAATAAAATTGTATCAGTTTCTGGAGTTTTAGATAAATACACAACACAATGCCTCAGTGCTATGTTTCTTAATATTTTCGAGTTTTTGACATTTTTTACTTTTCTTTACCACGTTCTTATTAAGTCACCTTGTTTTCTTATCTGTCTGTCTGTCGTTCCGGGTGCAACTCCAATTTCGAGCACTACCCATTGAGCTAGACTTGACATTTTCAACATAGCTCAGAGTCGAATGACAATGTAAGTAATATGAAAAAAAAATGTGGTGCATAAAAATGTTTAGTACAAAAATTTACAAAACATTAGTTATAAATTTTGTTACTTTTAGGAATATCTGTAAGATAGTTCGTTCATTTCTAGTATAATTATCATAAAATATAAATAAAATAAATTCTCTTTATTTCAGGCACATTGCACCCATATAACTTATCAACAAAAAAAAACTAAAAAGACAATACAGTACAGAATTACAAAAAATATATTCTCCCATTCACAGTCATTTTGACTTAGAGTGATGAGACCGCATGAGGCTTTTTAAGTTGCTTGTGCCCAAATACTCAAACGCTATTCAGTTTTAAGACGCTGTAAGTCTCGTAGTGTCACAGTCATTTTTACTAAGCATAAAATACAGCATGAGCATAAAGCAAATACAGCATGAGGCTTAAAGAGTCTGAAAAAAGTGTCTGAAAATTTAATAGCGTTGGAGTATTTGAGCATAAGGCATTGAGTATAGTAATCTAATCTATACATAATAAATAAAATTGAAGAGTCTGTTTGTAATGTCAAAATAACAGCTTTTTATTAAATGCATACGAAAGTGTATACAGTATACTAATGCTATAAAAATGCAATGTATTGTCAACCCTGAGGACAGCATCATTACCTGCTATTTAACGTTGGTATTATATGAGATTAAACA